CATTTCCTGTTTTCATCATGTAGTTTAGAAAATAAGCTTTAATTACCTCATTAAATAAAAAATAAATCAAATCTTTGATCTAACTGTAACTCTGTTGTTTTTCTTTCTAAACCTCTTTCTTCTTCTGCGGGACATCCAGGCCCCGAGCGTCTGCCTCCTTCTCTGACCTCCAAACATGGAGGTCTTTGCCTCTTTAATAAGATGCAGCTCTCCTGGTTTTGTTTTGAGCCTCATGAAGGGCCAGAGCTTCTCCTCTGCTTGTATTCCAGGTTTGACTCCAAACCAAACTCCTGGTGTCACAGAGTGTCTCACAGGTCTGAGTCATGAATCTGTAGCTCTGCAGTGAGGCTTCACAGATGCATGAAGTGATGAATGTCCTTCGGCTCCCGGCAGCTCAGGATTAACGCCGACATCTGGAGCAGTTTGCAGCAGCCTCCATTTAACACGGACTATCGACTTCCGTTTGTAACAGACGAGGGTTCGGAGATGGAGCTGAAAAATGCGTGAAAAAGCTGCATCACTCCTCGGCTTCCTGTGAATCAGTGCGCCTGTTCTCTGAGGAGGGATGAAAAAAGGAAGCTTTTATAGATTCGCCTTTCGCCTAAAGTCTGTTTGGTTCTCTGCTCATCTGTCAGTCAGCTGAGAAAACAGGGAACCTGACCCCAGATCAGCTGCCACTGGTTAAAGCATCCGTTTGATGCAGCTGAGCTCTACTGGACACAGACAGACCTGAAAAAGGTCTTGAACTCGGTGGTTAGTTTGACTTTCAATGCTGAACGTTGTTTTTGCTGCTCCTGCACTGTCAATATTTCGCTGCAGTCTTTCACAGTCTGGAGAATCAGGGAGGAATTTTGTTTAAGAAGTCGAGCTAACAACCGAGACCTGATGAGGTCTAGAACAGTCGGTATAGGGTTGTGGTCAGGTCTTGGGTGGTCTTTATACATCTTTGGTGCTCTTTGGAGGTTTTTATACGGTCTTGTTGAGGTATTGGTATATTTATATTTTGATTGGTCTTTATTGAGTCTTAGATGGTCCCTATAGACTGTCATGCTGCATTGTTTTCTATCTATAGTCTTTACAGGATCTTGGTGAGTTCTCAACAAGTTATGAATAGCATATTAGGGAGGTCTTGGGAGCTCTTTATTTGGTCCTTGTGAGGTCTTGGTTGTTCTTTGTAGGGTCTGGCGAGGTCTTAGAGTGTCTTTATTTGGTCGTAGTGAGTTCTTGGGTGGTCTTTATGAGGTCTTAGATGGTCTCTAAAAGTCTTAGTGAGGTCTAAGAAGGTCTTTATGGGGTATGGGTAAGGTCTTGGGAGGTCTTAGATGGTCTTTTTAGGGTCTCGTTGTGGTCTTGGATGGTCTTTATAGGGTCTTTGTGAAGCCTTGTGGGATCTTTATAGGTCTTGGGTAGTATTTATTTGGACTTGGTGAGATCTTGGATGGTCTTCATAGGTGAGGTCTTAGATGGTGATTTATGGTCATGGTGTGGTCTTAGATGTATTTATTGAGTCGTGGTGAGGTCTTTTATAGTCTTCATAGGTCTTGGAGAGGTATTGGGTCGTCTGTACATGGCCTTGTTAGGTCTA